ATTGGTTAAAATTTGAATGATTTTTATTAGAAGTAATTATTAATTTTTATATTGAGGTACAAATCTTTTTGCACTGATCCATAATTAATATTAACTTTGTATGTAATTAAAAAAATCTTTCAGAAAAATCAGAAAAATATGCATTTTACTAATTATAAAAGCTCAAGCATTCCATTAATATTATTTTACAATAATGTTATATAATTTAATTTTGCCATGTTTTTCATAATTAACCCAATAAAAAGAAAAATTAAAAAGATTAGATCTACATTTTTCTATTTCTTCTATTGCTATCACCACTGTCAGAGAAAAAAAAGTTCATATAACCATAATGCAATTATATGACCACATAAAAACACTATTCCTAAGCAGCGGCACGATAATAAAAATTTTGTAATATAATTGGGATAATGGGTCATCATATGATCCTACAATTTGATTGGGCAATAGAAATTTCGTTTGATGAAAACGAATTTTTGAAGTTCTAACAGTTTCATAAGTTCATATTTATCGCTTTGCTAAGTCAATAATAATGGGACAGCCAGTTCGGTATGTATATAACAGTCTATTGATAGTACTTTTAGTTATGCTAATAAACATTAAAGTGTAAAATTAATTAATTTGGAGAACATAAATTGGATGGATGAATCGATGAATTTAACGTTATATTCTGTCCCGGGAATGAACATATAATAATAAAACAAAAAAGAATCAAATAAAAAACCAATTTCTTATGTCAAAATTTTTATCAAATAAAAAATTAAATAATTCATTGTTTTATCTATGGTAGTCTCTACTCCAAAGGTCGTGTGCTCGGATACAAACGCTCAAAATCAAATCAATCACCAAATACAACTTTAATCAAGATCGAGGGTGTCACGACAAAAGAGGAAACACAATTCTATCTCGGAAAACATATCGCTTATGTGTATCGAGCAAAGCGAGAGGTACTATTAAATAGTTGGGATAAATTAGTGATTTATTTTATTAAGGTTTTGCTTTTAATTTGATTTTTTATTTATTTCTCTAGAAAAATGGGAGTAAGATTCGAGTTATTTGGGGTCGAGTAACACGGTATATTTTCATCTTTTGATTCTATTTGATCTAATAATCATGGAAATATTAATTTCATTTTGTTTAATTTAGACCTCATGGAAATGCCGGCGTCGTGAAATCCAAATTCCGAAAAAATCTACCGCCAAAGAGCTTCGGAGCTAGTGTGCGAATTGTAAATAAATTTAGATTTTTTTTATTATCCTCGTTTCATTATTTTGAGTTTTGATTTGATTTCTGATTTTTTTATTTACAGATGCTGTATCCGTCACGAATTTAATACACCAATAAAATCCATAAATTAAATTTTGAAAACCACCAATATGTCCAAGTTGATTATAGCGTATATTATTAGTGCTATATAACCCAGAAGATATAAAATTGATTATAAAAATTTGCTATCATGCTACGGATAGAAAGCTCAATCATTATTCGTAACTTTTTAAATGCCAAAAAACATTATCAACACAAATGTTTCTCAAATAGCGATATATTAAAAATTTATATAGGATTATTATATCTATGACATCATCTTATAACACGTACACATGTATATTGTGAATTGAATCTATTTTTTCTTTAACCTCTTACCACTATCAACACCACGACTACCATTACTACTCATGCTATAATTACTCTTTCGCTTTTTAATTGAAGACGATGTTATCACCGTATTTTTATGCTTAGTTTTACTTTTACTACTTGAAGTGCTCTCTTTTTTCGGCCTTCCCTTTACGCTTTTACTTTTTCTCGTTGTAATTGACGCTTCACTTTTTTTCTTAGGTGGTAGTTCGAGATCTTCGTCGTCTTCTATACTAAACAAGGACATATTGGAAATTAGTTCGTCCTAGAAATTAACATTTAATATTTATTTAGTCCTTCCTTAATTCGCGCGATAAAAAATAAAAAAAGAAAATAAACCTACCTCTTCTACATTGTTACTTTTTATGATTGATATTTGCTCTTGCACGCTTCGGAGCTCTTCTTGTAGACGACGAAGTTCTTCCTTCTTTGCATTCAAAACTGTTGTTACAATAATTATTATTATTATTAATATTATTAAAGATTTTCTTACAAGAAAAGACGAAAATCTCACGTAAGAATGGCTGGAGGGAAGAATCAATAAAAAGAAGATGAATTTAGAGACAAGGAAAGGATACGACATTATAAAATGAAATTACGAATTGCGAATGATAATGATAATGATAGATTACATCTCGAGGTTTCGGCAATTCAATCTTGCTCCACACTTCTTCCGGCACTTCATATCTAGAGGTAAAAACAAAAAAGTTTGGTTAATTAAAAATTTTTACAAAACTGGACGGAAAAATCACGAGGTTGAACTAACGAATACTTGCAGCTCTTTATTTTTTGCGATTCGCGCTTTTATTTCTTCGCGTAATGGTCTCCCTGTGCATAAAAAATTAACACATAAGTTGAGTTTATAGCAATATATATATATATATAAATGAAGAAGTACATGTACGAACCGCCAGTATTTACAATACAATTATTTTTACGCTTAATGTGAGGTCCTTGAATTTTTGCATTCTTTTCACCAATTACAAGAGGATCGATATGTAACCCACCAAATTCTATTCATTTTCAAATTAACGTATGTTAATTACATACATACACTACACCAAAATAACCTTTGAAGCATTCAAAAACAGCGTTGCCATTAATCAACAAAAATATACAACAAGATTCTTCATCTACCTGCTGTACTTTGTTGTCCAAGCATTCGTTGTAGTTGCAAATTCATTTGTGCATTCGTTTTGCCCGGCAAACATTCTGATTCAATGATTTTCGCCCAATTGCCAATTCCAAATTTCATTAGCGCTTTACGAAATATTTCATTCTCCTCTTCGGACCAACCTACCAGGGTAAATAAAAAGTTTCATTTTAAACAAAATCACAAATTACAAATGATACATTCTATTTTATAAATGAGCAATTACAACATTTAATGTGTGTTTACCTGGAGAGAGAGTGCAATTCCATAGACTTGCGGAATCGTTTGAACGTAAAACATTTCTTGGGCCAGTTGGCATACTTTGTGGTCTATAAACATCTTCATTAATCGGTGGCATTGTAAGATTCTTTGGTGTAGCAGAGGGAAAAAGTCAAGCGAATTTATCGTGTTTGGACGCGAAATCGAAATTTAGTATAACAGCCAATCAAAATTCATTCCGCGAAAAAACTAAAAGATTGAAATTAGCTAATTTGTATTATACCCGATACACGTCGTTATATTATATATCATTTAAGTCTCATAGTCATGGGATTTCCCACTTTTCCTCTTCTGTGCCCCTTAGATGAGGATGGGCTTTGTTATCGAGGATTTCTAACTTTTCAAGTGAGCTTATTAACTTCCAATCCATCATAATAAAAACCATATTCACAAGTAAACTATCACATAGGACCAAGAATTTCTTATTGGTATAGAACTAACTCGAAACGACAACAATAATAATAGCCTAAAGAATACCCAACTTTACTTTTGCGAAGAACTTAAGAGGTTGGCAGCCACTCACATAAACACAATTAAACAGGTAAATTCTTTACTCACCTTTTGTAGTTTGTTTTTGTAATTTACACAACTAATGATCAACGAGATACAAAACAATACAACAAATAAATAGTTGTTAGAGCAACATTCCGATTTGGAATCTTTTTTAATAGATCTTAAAGAATTACTGGTTGTATATCATCTGCAGCTTTCTGCATTTATCATATCTTTTATTAATCTATCGCTTTACTGATTTATTTAATTCTTTTATCTAGGAACGCCTTGTAACAAAGAAGCAGTCGGAGCCTTTGCCATCACCTGAATACTGTTCGTTTCTTATTGCAGAATTGGATAGTGTTGGATGGGATAAACTCGAATCAATTGATCATTCACTTAAAGAAGTTACGTTGAAATTAAGGTATTTAATTCACGAAATAAATTTTGTTCATGCTTGTTTTTTACATTGAATAATAATAATAATAATAATAACAATAATAATAATAATAATAATAATAATAATAATAATAATAATAATAATAATAATAATAATAATAATAATAATAATAACAATAATAATAATAATAATAATAATGCCAACATATATCGTAAAAGTGATTCTTCTGGACGCCAACATTCGATCTTTGTTTCTTTCCCGCCCAATTATCCAAAAACAGCCGCAGCTGTACGTGCCGATCTCCCAACTTCCTATTCTGTTCCGCAAAGTTATAAAACGCGTCTCAAGGATATTGTGTTATTTTTTCTGATGGTACCTTGCTCAATGTCTTCCACTTCACTTAATGTAAACTTTGGCGTGACGATGGCATAACAACTACTAAATTCATCTACAAAAGGAGTTTGAAAAATACGAAGACTTTTGGTATTTAGTGGAAGATATTGATAGGCATACGTGGGTATTGGATCCGGCGAAACCGAAAAGAAATGATTTGACACGAAGAATTTTTCTAGGGAACCATTGCTCGCTGCTAATAAAATGGAAAATTGAGGATCCTCGATCGATGTGTAAATGGCAGTTGTTTGGAGCTGAAAAGTTTGCCGCCCCTTTACGGCAAAATCTCAATAAAATATCAAAGATCTGGTAAAATTTTCTTTATATTTTTTTTTGTCATTATATTGTTCCGAATTTTCAAATTATGAACTGATTATCCTCAAGGAATAAAAATATCACAACACGAGAAAACTTTGAAAATATTCTAGGATTCAAATTTCCCTCGCCACAAAACACGTCACAATCTGATTTCGAGATCGACTGTGCAATTTGTTATATTTATGAAATTGAGGATGGTTCGATACCAGATCAATCATGTAACAACCTTAAATGTGGCCAGTCCTTTCATAAGTCATGTATACTCGAGGTAAGTGTTAATTTTCTTTTATAGTCTAACCATCCAATGGTGTGATGAATCTTAAAATCTTTGGCCATAAACTCCCATGCTGAATCAGTGGAAGAAACAATTGCAAGAAATCAATTCGTTATACACGAAATGTCCTTATTGTAATGAGGTTAGTCAAAATAAATTTAGAAATGTAAATTAGAGAAAGCCATCAAATTTTGATTTATTTGTTAATTGTTATAGGGTTTAATATTCCATGGCTCGGGAAGATAAGAGTAATTCTTAATATGTCATGCATGCGATGTTTTCCCAGTAGAATTTATTGTTTTCTATCAAGCTAATGAAAAAGAGATAAAAGCTACCATTTCTTTATGTCTTTAAATTAACTGGCTTCGTGCATCGACTTACTGAGTCAGCCGATCTGACTTTTTCACAAAGTTGGGATTTGGACCATTTCGGGATCAGTATTATCTATTGGTCAAAGATCATCTGGATAAGACTAATTCTTATAAGTGTTAGCTTTTCACGTGATTTTACTCTGAAATGGCACATATGAAAATTGAAGCTTTGAATCAACGTGGTTTATATATTACGGTTTCAAGTCATGACGGTTTGAAAGTCGTGACCCATAAAATTGTCAACTTGGGACCAAATCGAAACTTCAACTAATTTATTATTATTGGGTTTAATACAACCAAATTATGTTCGGTTATGATTTCAAGAAGTTAATATAACCGGTTAGGAAAAATAAAACTGGTTCCAACCTCTAAAATGAATATTTTGATCTATAGATATGAAAGAATTGAGACACTTTTAGACCTTCATTCTTATCTCATTCTTTATTCTTTTTGAGGCATTAGCGTTAGCGCGTTTGATACTGTTTGGATCTTGATAATATCACATGACGACGTTGCTTATGATCATGGTTATTTTCATCATGAGCCATGAATAATTAATATTAAGCTACTTGCATATCCTAGTGGACGCATTCGGGTTGCGTTATTATATCGAACAATTTGAATGTACTGGATGTTGTTCCTTAGCATCGAGTTTCATGATGCTATTATTGCCATATTCTCCTGGGTGGTGAATGTTTATCATTTACCATGTATCGTCTCTGATAGATAGATAGATAGATTGATTGATTGATTGATTGATTGATTGATTGATTAGTTAGTTAGTTAGCGTACGTCAATTATCACCAAAAAGTTTTAAGAGAAAATTTGAATGGAAAAGATAATTTCAAGTGTTATTATTACTCACATCTTTGACGAATCTCAGAAATAATATTGTCAAACTGAAAAAACGGTCTCATGGTTTTATATTAATATCAAAAATGATTTTAATATACGAATAATACTTCTCTAAATAACAAATGTATTTATTACTAATTAATTTATATTCATGTTAAGAACTATAATAATAAAATAATCAGAAAATTCTCAAGAATCAAGAGGTTAAGATTGACCATATAATTGTAATAAAAATGATAACATAAATTAATAGATTTTGTGTATTCCGTTGAAGAAATACACTAAAGCACGTTCTTTACCTTTGTAAAGAATGGCCTCGGGATTGTTTGATCTTTAATATAATTATCAAGTCCCACCATATTATTACTGAATGAATTATATTAAGGGACATGACAGAAATCAGGTGATTTTTGTAGATGATCATATGCTATTGTACATATATAAATTATATAAACATGTCTATTAAATAAAATCACCTAATTTCTGTCAGGTCCTAAAAAGGTCCCCGAAAATGCAAGTTGAATTGTCTTTAATATTGTTTGAGATGTATTTAGTTAATTAGTCGGTTACCGTTCACTGGCAATTCGAAAATTTGGAATATTCCATCATTGTCGTGAAAATCATTGTGCACGATATTGATTAGGTACCAATTTTCCGCAATTCCCGATATCAGCTTGGCAGATACGGAGTTTGCATCATAAATTCTTGCCCATTCATTCCATAATTCGAAAGCTTCATCCTGGACAGAATAATTGCAATCGAAATTGTAAAGTTCAAATGATAAAATTTAGATTAAATCTATTATTGCTAATAAAATACCTTCCAAGCCATGAAGCTAACAGCTTCAACTATTGTTGGCTGAATAATTTCTTTTCCTGGGAAAACACCCCAGGTTACAGCATTAGGTCCATCGCTTTGATTGTTAGTTCTCAGATCACCCTGATATCAAAAAAAAGACAATAGCGTAGTTTAGCATGAATTAATTGCAAGTTATGACAAATTAATAATACCTGTTTGTTGACAGCGTAGTACGTAATATTTGGGTCACGTTCGATTTTATCAACAAGTAAATCAAGTTTAGATGGCGGAACAAAAACTTCAATATACGCCTAAAACGTAAAAATATTAACTATTGTTTAAAAAAAACATCTTTTCAATTGCTAAAATAAGTCCTTTTACCTTTTGATATACATAGCCATTCTTAGGGCCCCAACCAAACATTTTATTATCGCTGCGTGCACCATTAACAGCTGGTTGCGAATTGATGGTTAGATATCCTAGAGAATTAATATGGGCCAACTGATCTTTTATAATAGATGTTTCTTCTGCGAGCGATTGATCTGACCAAGGCAATGAAGTAATTTTGCCGCGACAATACTTAACAAAGAGAGTAATTATATCATCTAATGACTGAGGATGCCCCCAAAGCTCAAGCGCTTCTTCAATCTAAAAGATTAGTATTAAAAGGTTAAAAAATTGATCCTTAGATTGATAAAAATAAAGCAAGAAAATTCTTACGGTATGTTTGAGCGAAACGCCATAACCATCGAGCTCACCGAACGCTGTGTGATAATAAATCCAAATTAGTTATAGAAAAATAGCAATACAGATCAAAGATTTTAAATATTTACCCGGTGAGCGTGAGTCACCCCATCTGCCGTTAGGAAATTCATCCCAAGCTTCAGTACGCTGTATATAACTTTTTGTTCGGTTTCTCCAGAATATGGGCCGCACATTCTCTTTCTTGCGTTTGATGGCAAGAGACTATGATAAGTAATGACAATGTTTTATATTGATATAATAACACAAGACTAAAGAATGATCGAATATTTAAAAAGATGTGATCTAATAAAAATTCTTACCGGAGACCAAGGTAAAGGTTTGGATGTTTCCACGGGTGCAACAAATTGCAATTCTTCGAGAATCAATCTTGTAGATCGTTCTAAATTCATTGTGTAAAAATGGAAACCTTTGACACCGTGAGAATACATTTTTCTTATCATATTGATGGCAAGTTTAATTCCGTATTCTTTAACAGCAGCATCGTCTTCTTTAATCGGTTGTAATTCATCCAAGACAAATTGAGGTACAATTGTTTTTGAAAGTGTAATTATTCTTTTAAAACCGTTAAAATTTTGGATTGGCAAAAGTCCCGGAAGTATTGGACAATTGATTCCAATATCTCGACATTTTTTAATCCAACTCAAAAACAAGTCGACGTCATAAAACAATTGCGTCACAATGAAATCAGCACCAGCTTCGACTTTTTCCTTTAGGCGATATAAATCATCCTCTTTATTCGGATTATCAACATGTCCTTCAGGATATCCAGCTACACAGATACCAAAATAGTCACCATATTTTTCTCGAATAAAACGGACAAGATCCACAGCATGGGAGAACCCGTTCTCACATGCCTCCCAGTGATCTTGACCCCTCGGTGGATCACCCCGTAGTGCAAGAATATTTTGGCATCCAGCTGCTTTGGCATCCTATTTCATTAAAAGAAAAATTAATACGATAAAAATAATAGCGATATCAATTTGATCTTTTGTATATCAAGTTTACCTCAAGAGCCTTCTCAATTTTTTCTCTTGGCATATTGGTGCACGTAAGATGCATAACTGTTTCTAATCCATAAACAGACTGAGCAGTCGATGTGATTTCAACAGTAAGCTCAGAAGAGGAGCCGCCAGCGTTCCAGGTGACATCAATGAATTCAGGGCCAAGCCGATACATCCGTTCCATACGGTCGTATAGATTTAACACACCCTATAAGAGAACATCACGTCGAGCAAATTGTTGAAAATTAAGGTAAGGTTTGGAATAGCCTATAATTTTATATCACAATTGAAGATATAAATCAAGGATAAATCAAGGGGATTTTTCGGAAAAAAAGTTGTATATATTTCCGAATAAAAGGAAGAGACATTTGCGTTGCTAAGTTTTGATATACTTTATGCAATGTAAATTCTGTAAATTTCTTCAGATAGAAACTATAATATATTTGACGTTATATAAGTAATTTCCTTGCCTGTTGAGTTTTTGGTGGAAAATATTCAAAGGACCAGAATGGACGCCCTTCATCAATCGCTTTTTGAATTTTGTTAATTACTTTCATTTTTTTTCGTGACGTGTTTGAGAAATGAAAAAAAGATTAAAAAATCAAAAACTTTTTATCAAATTTGATGACGTAATACCACAAAATTAGTAACGAAGTAATGGCAAAAAAAGGGGCAGAGCACGTGATCTAGATCTGTCATCAAGAATTAGAGATGTAAAGCATATTTTTTTTTTAAAAAAAAAATTCTGGGCGTAAAATGTAATCCAGTCACATGCAAATCATACGGACAAAAAATGTCAGTGAGACAATTTTGCTTGAAAGATACACACACATATATGTTGCGGTTTTGTTAGCCTGTTCTCATCACATGTAAGTAAAGAGTCTAACTACTAAATCCATTCTTTTGTTTTACGACAAATGATAAAGATCTCATGTTGATTTGAGCAACTCATTCATCGAATACTCCATTTCAAATTTTGAAATTATTCTAAAGAAAGATATTTGATTTGTATCAATGCTATAACGATAGATGAAAGATCAAATTATTTTTGAAAGGAAGTCTACTTCGTAGGACAGGGCTTAGATTAAAGGTAAGCATAAATTTTTTTATAGTTTAAATTGAATATGCTGCAGTTATTTCGCTCCCGAATGCAGCAGCACTGTACATTGTTTCGGAGTGACTAATTTTACGATACAATTCCTCACGAGACTTTGGCCAAGTTTCATTGAAAAGATCCCTTTTTTTCAAGAAATTTTTTATTTCTCATAATTCGGGGAACTACGCGAAAAAAAAGTCTGATGAAAGTATTTCATAATTAAATAATTTATCGATATGGATTGATATCATTTTCTCAAATTAAATGTCGCATTGTAAGAAACCCGGAAATTTGTGAAACTTAAAATGTGTGACAATTACGATAAATTCAAAAATTAGCAAAGTCATTTTGTTAAACATA